CTCCCCTCCCTCCTCTCCTCCTCGTGGGTGCGGGGCGAGGCGTTCGGCCTCTGGGGGCGGCTGCCGCGCCAGTGCACCGGCGCCGCCCCGTCTGCGAAGGTCGTGCGTGAAGGCCTCCAGGTTTAAGTCGGGCCTGTACCCCTACAGGGGGGTTTACGACGAAGATAAAAGATACCCCCAAAATACCCCCAAAAGGTAAAAAAATACTCCAAACATAGTCCCCAGACTATTTTTGGATTATTGTTTGATTATTTAGTGTGTATTTTTTATTTTTCGTCGAAAATCCCCCTGTAGGGGGACACGCCCGACTTAACTCTAGGTTCTCTGGGTTGCACCAGCTTCAGGGCGGCCAGCCATGCTCTCTCGGCTTTGATTTTCATTGTATTCGTGGGCTTCATGCTCATTTGCATCCTCGCCCTGTCACTCAGGGGCTCAGGCTTTAGCTGCGCACCACCGCCTGGAACACCAGGATTTGTCCTGGTGACCTGTTTTCCTCCTCCCCCTCCCTTCCTTCTTGCTCCTTCCTTCTCCCTCCTCGCAAGATAGTTCACTGCGCCCCGCCGTGTGGTCGAGGAGCGTGGCCGTGGCGAGCCTCGGCTTCCACCCGCCCTGCCCGCTCTGCCGGAGCTCAAGGGAGGCAAAACCACCCAGACCCCGACAATTGGCGTTTACCAAACGGCCCTGGGCGCTTACTAACCAGCCCTGCCTTGTCCGATTCCTTCCCTGGGTGCATTTACTAAACGGCTTCGCTCGTCGGGGTGCCTTCTTCTGGGGGGGGGGGATTTTCTGTTTTCTAGGAGCGGCCTGTGGATTTTCTGTTGCTTCCCTTCCGTGGCGTGCCTCGGCTTCCAGCGCCCCGCCGTATGGCCGAGGAGTGTGGCCGTGGCGAGCCTCGGCTTCCACCCGCCCTGCCCGCCCTGCCCGAGCGGCCTGTGGAGTTTCTGTTGCTGCCCTTCCTCGTGCGTGTCCGGCTGTGCTAGCGCAGCTCGGGTCCAGTGCCGGCCGCCGCTCGGCCGCATCGGGCAGCTCGTTGCTTTCTGCCTCCCTCTCCCTCTTCAAGCAGTGGCGAGGCGTCCTGGCGTGCCTATAGCCCTACCAAGCAATGCTCTAAAAACCTTTTGTGGTTCCCACGAGATGTTCTCAGAACATCTCTGGCTGGGACTGTCTTGTTTTACCACATCGGGCTCATGTTCAGAGAACACGGTTTCTGTTCTTAGAACATATTTGGGTTCAAAGAACATTTCGTGGTAGGACTATAGGAATGCTGGGACGGTCGGTCCCTGCTCAGCCTCTGGCGTTCCCTCCTCCTCGTTTCGTCCTCTCCTTTCGCACGCGGCGCGCTCTCTCATCTTCCAGGCCACGGTTCGGTGCGTCAGCTTGCCTGTCGCAGGTCGGCTCCAGCAGTGTTCCCGGCTCGCCCGGCGACCACTTGATCAGCACGGTGGTCGAGGCCTAGTCGAGTGGAGCTCAGTCTTCGCGCCCTCTCCTGAAAAGAGCGAAGGAAACGTTGCCGACGTCGGCTTTGGAGGCCAGGCGCCCTTTCGACGCTCTCTCCCTCGCTGCACGTCTTGCGCAAATCGCGGCATCCCAGGTATGGGGAGGCTCGGCGGGGAGCGAACGGCTCACTCATGGAAGGAGGGAGCACGACGGTGATGTGATGCGCGCCTGGGTTCGACGCGTGTTGTCGTGTAGGCTAGCGGTCGACGCTGAAGTGGAACTGAGCGAGCGGCATGCAGAGCGCCACTGGTGAGTTTGTGGGCCCGCGAGATCGAAAAGAGGATGGGCGTCTCCAGTGCCCATGGAGTGCACGCAGCACTGGTACCGGATCGTGAAGAACCAGAGGACGCGGATCCGGTGTCGGATGGCATTCGGAGGAGGGCTCGTCGAGACACTGGCGGCGCTCCTTGGCGTCTTTCGTTATTTTTTTGGGGGGCCTCATGGAGGCCTTTCGTCGCCTTGGCTGGATCCGCCCCGAAATGCGAGTGGAGATGAATCTCGTGGGGGGTCAGGGATCCAGGGATGGATTTCGAACAGATTCGGGCCTGGAGGGAGAGCCGAGGAGTGCGAGGAGGAGAGGCGACGGGACAGAGGCAGAAGGGATAGGAGGAATGAGGAGAAGAGGAGGAGGAGGAAGAGGAGGAGGAGGAAGAGGAGGAGGAGGAGGAGGAAGACGAGAAGGAGGTCAAGTCAGGTCAGGTCAGGCATTCCTCGAAAGCTCCTCGTGAGAAGGCTACTGGGGGGGTGAGGCACATAAGCGACAGCCCAAGGAGAAGGAGGAGGAGGAGGAGGACCAGCGTGGACCCAAGACGCATCAACCATGTTGCGATTCTGTTTGAAGTGCAGGAAGTGCCCCATTGAAAGACCGGTTTGAGAATCTTCACATCGTGCCACAACACCATCCCTGGGATGTCAACGCCGTGGATCAGCGTGACTATTGCGTCCTGGCAATCCTGAGTCGTGCCAGAACACGATTCCTGCGACTTCGCGAGTCAGCATACACGTTGTGTCCAGACAGTCCGGGGCTGCACAAGAACGCAATTCCTGGGATTTCAACCCTACGAATCCGCAAAACTGCTGCAAACTATTTAGACTCATGTGCGCGGCGCTTAGGCGAGAGCCACAGGTTGAAAAGGAGCTGCCCTCCATCACTGAAACTGTTGCGAACTTTTACGTGCTGAAGACAAGTCGCCATCCATCCTCGAGAATGATGCAACTTTTAAGGCGACTGTGAGCGGGGCTCAGGCGAGATTCACATTTGAAAATCAGCCGCCCTCCATTCTTGAATATGTTGCAAGTCGCAGGCTTCAGGATCATAAGCGGTGAGGGAATCTCAAGCGAAACGCCTGGCCCGCCCTACCGACACGCTTGGGGGGTGCGAATGGGAGGAGCTATTTATAAGGAAACGGATGGGGGAGGAAGAGAAGGAAGATGCTGCTGATGATGATGATGATGATGATGATGATGATGATGCTGCTGTTGATGCTGATGCTGATGCTGATGCTGATGCTGACGCTGATGCTGATGATGCTGATGCTGCTGATGCTGATGCTGATGCTGATGCTGATGATGATGATGATGATGATGATGATGATGATGATGATGAGGAGGAGGAGGAGGAGGAGGAGGAGGAGGAGAGGAAGGAGGAGGAGAGGCAGGAAGGAGGGAGGGAGGGAGGCGGAAGAGGGAGGAGGGAGGAGGAGAGGAGGATGAGAGGAGGAGGAGGAGGAGGAGGGCGCCAGGGGTGTGGGGCCAGAGGAAGATGATGATTGGGAAGAGGAGGGGCGAGCGTCAAGACCGCGCCCCCATCCCGTCTTGACGCTCCTGCCAGGCAGGATCATTGCGTGATCCTCGCGCTCGCCCCCCTCCTCCGCCACCCTTCGCCCTCCTCTTCCTCCTCCTCCTCCTCCTCCTCCTCCACCGTCCTCCTCCTCCTCCTGTTCCTCTACTCCTTCTTCTCCTCCTCCTCCTCCTCCTCCCTCCTCCTCCTCCTCCTCCTCCCCCTCCTCCTCCTCCTCCTCCTCCTCCTCCTCCTCTCCTTCCTCCTCCTCCTCCTCCTCCTCCTCCCTCCTCCTCCTCCTCCTCCTCCTCCTCCTCCCTCCTCCTCTCCTCGTCCTCCTCCCCGCCCACCCCATGGTTCTTCCTCTCCTCCTTCTCCTCCTCCTCCCTCCTCTCCTCCTCCTCCTCCTCCTCCTCCTCCTCCTCCTCCCCTCCCTCCTCCTCCTCCTCCTCCTCCTCCTCCTCCTCCTCCTCCTCCTCCTCCTCCTCCTCCTCCTCCTCCTCCTCCGCGTTCCCTCGCCCCTCAATCGCCCCAGAGGTTTTGAAGCCTCCAGAGTGCCTCCCAAATGGAGGAGAGGTGTCCGAGAACGGAGCACTCGGTATCAAGAATGACGGTGGCCTGCGAGGCTCTGTTGGGGCCCCTCCGCCCCTGGGCAGGAACGCGTTGAAGCCGGTGGAGAACGCCAGCCAGGCCGATTGCGGCCCCCGGAAGAAGCACTGGAGGTGGGACTCCCCAGCGGCTTGGCGCAGGGAGGACAATGAGGAATCGCGTGAGCAATGACTGCGTGACTCATAGGCCCCACCGGTAAGTGTGATCGGAATGAACGACTCGGCGACTAGTGCGATGGTGGTTATTGCTGTCTGCCTGCGCAGTTACAACTTACTGAAACGGGCCTAGCCACAGAGTTTGTAATCTTCGTGGTGTGTGGTCGTCTTCTCAGACGGTCCGCGCATGACCACCGTGAATCAACATGTGAGATTACGAAAGGGCGGCTAGGAATCATCAACTTCTGATTCAAAGTTTGATATGTTACGTTGTTGTTACGCAGTGGCTTAGCCGCCAACGCCCCAGCCACCACTTCGGAGATTCGAAAGCTCGTCGGGCCCCTTCGCTTGTCCCTGGTGAGCGGGCCTTCACAACGCGATGGCTTGCGCATTGGAGGAGGACTCGAATCACCCGGGCTGGCCCCTCATGACCTCTGCCGGGGAAAGGACGCGCCGGACCTCCTCAACGGGTGCAGAGCCTTCAAAATGGAGCTCCGCCTTCCAGCCCGGACCCTGTCCCCTGATCCGCCCTGCTTTGGGCGATTTCGCAAGTAGGTCGGAAATGTCCGCCCCATGTTTCGAGCTCCTTTGATGCCGATTTCCGCCCTCCTTTGCCGTCGCCGTTGCCGTTGTACGTTTGCAGAAAGAGCCGCCCCTATGGTTCTGAGGCAGAAATTTCCGCCCTATTATTTCGAATTGTTAGGTGTGCACTTCCGATTCAAGTTCAAGGAGGAATCTCAACCAAAGTATTGCATTTTGGTTGAGATTCTTGGTGGCCCCGGGACGACCCCATGAGCCCGAGACGCCTTCTAGATGACCCCAAGATTGTGTCACTATGGCTCCAATGTGACTCCGATGCGTTTCTTCCTTCTGCCCTTGCTCTTGGCTTGGGCCGACAGGACGGACGGGGGTGCTGGCCCTCCGCCCCTCGTCGTCGTCGTCTTCCTTCTCCCCCCTCGTCCTCGCCGTCCTCGTCGTCGTCGTCGCTGTCCGCCGGGCCTCCTCGGCCCCATACATCGCAGACAACCGAATCCCGAACACAAGCCGAATCCATCCATTCTCTAATGCAGCAGATCTGGGGTCAGGGCTGGGCAGCACTCGCCGTTGAGGGGGGGTCCTGCCCTCGCTCCGCCGAAGGGGAGGCGGAGAGATGCGCCGCTGCCTGCCCTGTCCCGAGCAGGCGCCGCCTGTGGGCTCGGAGAGCCGTCCGCCCCCGCTGCTGCATCCCGAGCAGTCGCAGATACTCCTCCTCCTCCTCCGCCTCCTCCTCCTCCTCCTCCTCCTCCTCCCGTAGATGGACAAAGAAGTGGAACCCTGGACACCACGCCCCCCCCCCCCTCCCCCCAATGTCAGAGTTGGTCTCAAGCATCTGGCAGCACAGGCGTGAGAGGACAAATAAAAGTGGAACCCCCAGGGCCTCCGAGAGGCCGAACCCAACTTTGAAACTGGGGGGAGGGGATGGGGGGGGGGGGGGCGAATGCGGGGCCGAAGACGAAGGGGTTCCATTCTTTGGTCCCCTTACCGTCCCAGAGGGGGTCCGAGAAGATGGGGTCGGAGGATCGCGCCGCATCGCCGAGGCACCGACGAGGCGTCGACGAGACCGCGAGGGCGCGGACATGCGCGCGTTCGCCGCTCGTGGCGCCCGCCGGCTTTCCTCCGAGGTCCCCGGCTCCTGCCCCGCTCCGATTCACCAGCCCGAAACATGTTCGTCGCCTCGTTTCGATGTCTATCTCAGGGATGACCTCGTTTCGATGTCGATCTCAGGGATGGCGATGCCCTCTCGTACGAGTGGCACCGCCTTCGTTTCGATGCCCTCTCAGGGATGGCGATGCCCTCGTTTCGATGTCGATGCCCTCTCCCACGAGTGGCGCCGCCTCGTTTCGATGTCGATCTCAGGGATGCCCTCCGCCTCTGAGGGCGCACACCTCTGAGATTGCCACAGCCTTCCGGCTGGTCCATCGCAGGGGCCGGCGGAGGGAGGGAGGGAGGGAGGGAGGGAGGGAGGGAGGAGGAGGAGGAGGAGGAGGAGGAGGGGAGGAGGAGGAGGAGGAGGAGAGAGGAGCCCGAGGCCGGCGAGGGCCCCGGAGAGGCCGGCGGCAGGCAGAGGGAGAGCCGTCACCGCACGGCCTTGGGACGCTGGAGATCCCCAGTCGCCCGAGACGCCCTCGGAGAACGACCCACGTTCCAGCAGCATCCAGCCTCCTCCTCTCCTCCCCCCTCCTCCTCCTCCTCCTCCTCCTCCTCCTCCTCCTCCTCCTCCTCCTCCTCCTCCTCCACCGTCCTCCTCATCCTGTCCTCTACCTCCTCCTCCTCCTCCTCCTCCTCCTCCTCCTCCTCCTCCTCCTCCCCTCCTCCTCCTCCTCCTCCTCCTCCTCCTCCTCCTCAGCAGCGTGCGGCTCACCACGCGGCGTGGTCGCCGCACAGCTCGAGGGCCCCCCATGGAGGGAGGCTCCCCGCCCAGCCAGCAAGAGAAAATACAGTGGGCGGGGCGGGGCAGCAGGCCTCCGGTGGGCGCGCGAGGGAGGCCGAGCCCCGAGGCGGGAGGCGCCGGCGCGCGCGCGGGGGCTCCCGCGAAGAGGGGCCTGCGGCCAAGGCGCCGAGGCGAGGGCCGTTGCTGTGGGCTGCAGGGGGCGGCTCCCCCGGCCCCGCTGGGGGCGGACGTGTCCGCCCTTCTCTTCGGAACGACCGAAATGGGTACGGAAAGAACGGGTAATTAGAATGCCACAATAACAGTTCCGCTTCATTTTGAACAGGACTCGCTGTCGGTGTCGCCGCGGCCTGTGCACATTTGAGGCAGGCGGCTGGCTGCCCAACCAACAGCGGCCGCTGTTGGTTTGGGACAACATTTGTTGTTGGGCATCGTACCCATTTTTTCGGTACCCATGTCGGGCGTCGAAATCTCTTGCAGCTCCTTGGATGCCGATTTCGGCCCTACTTTGCCGTTGCCGTTTCTGCTTTTTACTCCGTGGGCATCGTTGCGAAGAGGGTCCACAAAGTTGCGGAACGACGTTCCACAACAGTATAGCGGACATGTCCGCCTCGTTTTTCTGAGGCGGGAATTTTCGCACTATTGTTCTGCATCCTTCGGGGTGCATCTCCGACGCAGTTCTACGGCGACGAATCCGCCACTTTTTTCTCAGGCCACGGTCAGGGAGCTGGTTCGTGGCTGGGGCTCGCCTTATGTTGTTCCCATCCTACTTAAGGACCACATCCCAGAAATTATGTCGAGCACCCGGATAAGTGTCAAAAGAGTGTCGAAACAGTGTCGGGCGAGTGTCTCCCAGGGCCCGACACGTGAAAACAAACCCTTGAGTTTCGGTACTTTTTTGGGCGCTCGAACTTCTTCCTGGCGATCAAAGCGAAAGTAGGTTGGAGCATCATAAGGCTCGCCGCGGTCAGGGAAACAAGCAGTCGTTCCTTGAACAGCGTTCCCTGCGGTCGCGCGGTTGCTCCATCCGTCGGCCGCGAGGGCTTGGGCCCTCAGTCAGCCCGACGAGTCCTCGTGCTGGCCCTCGCGGGTGGCCACCGGGAGCAAGCCATGCCGCCGACCACCCCGAGGGTCAACAAACCATCAGAGTGGAGGTCCGACCTCCGCTGGAGGCATGTGTTTGCCTCGACCTGGCGGCTTTTGTATACAACTTTATGTCGGGCGTGTCCCCCTACAGGGGGATTTTCGACGACAAATAAGAAATATTTCAAAATGGGCCAAACAGGTCAAACCATATTCAAAAAATAATCCCCAGACTATTTTTGGACTATTGTTTGATTATTTTTGGTATTTCTTATTTTTCGTCGAAAATCCCCCTGTAGGGGGACGCCCGACAGAAATATAACTTCGTCTTCCACAGAGGACGGTCCAGCTCGACGTCCGGGGTGCATTCCGCGCGCGGCCTCCGCGTGCCCCGCGGGTGCGCATCCTGCCGTGAGTCCCGAAGAACAGAACACTGGCATGAGCACGATTTATCGCCGTCCATTTCTAGGGGAACAAAAGGTGGCATAAACATAAAAACTCGGAGGTCCGCGCGGATTTCTCGGATCCGCGCTGGACCCCCTTGGCGGCGCCTCCGGCGCCGCCACTGGCGCGCTCCGAGCGCCAGGGAGGGGGGTCCAGCGCCGATCCGAGAAATCCGCGCGGACCTCCGAGTTTTTATGTTTATGTTATTTTTTGTTCCCTTAATTTCGTTCGCGTCACAAGGGCTCTGCACTGGAGCGGCAAGCACGGCCAACACGGGGCCACACGGCCCCGTGGGGTCACGGGGCCACCACGGGGTCAGACCAGCCCCGTTGGGCTCCCGAGGGCTCCCGAGAGGGGTCACGCAAGAGATGCCCGCCAATGCGGGTGTGTGACCGCCGCATGTTGGCAACGCCGCAACATGGGCACGGCAATTTCTCGGAGGTCCGTTCGGGTTTCTTAGATCGACGCTGGGCCACCCTGGCGGCGCCTCTGGCGCCGCCCCTGGCGCGCTCCGGGCGCCAGAGAGGGGGGCTCAGCGCGGATCCAGGAAACCCGCGCGGACCTCCGAAAGTTCATGTCCATGCCGTTGTTGTTTCTTCCTCCATTTCCGGCTGCTTGGCAGGATGTGTCCTGGCTCTTGGCGGGGCCCCGGCTGGGGATGGTGATGTCTGGGCGTTAGCAGAGTGGTGTCCTGAGGGCGCAAGGGCGGGTGCATGTTACCCGAGGCGGCGAGTAGGCTGAAGCTTGGAGGGAGGGTGCGCAGCATGCCCAAGCAGCAGCCGCGCTGGGAGCAGACTCCCCCTGGCGTCCCGTGCGCGAGGTGGTACCGCGACCGCCGGATCAAGATGCGGAAGAAGTCGCGGACGATCTGAGCCGTGGCCCGACAGAGTTTTATGTGGCAGCTCGCCGGCAGAGCAAAAGTGTGTGGCCGGGTCTTCCGCCACAGCGGACCTTCCATACGAAGCCCAGAGGCCCAGGGGCCCGTGCGCGTATGCATGCCCGCGTGTGCGAGGTATGCCTCCAGACGTTTCTGTTCCACAATTCGGCTTGCCGGCGGGGTGCTGAAGAGCTGGTGGGCGCGAGGCCTGCGCAGGCCAGGTTTTCTCGGGTTGCTTGGTATTATGTCCGTAGTGTTTCCCGCAAGGTTTTCTTCGGGTTGTTTGAGATTGTTTCCGTACTGTGTGTGAAGAGGCCTTCTTTGGGTTGTTCGCTGTTGTTTCCTCGAAATCAGTTTGTGATTAACAAAAAAGGTACCCCCCCGGGGCTGATGAATAGAACCCGCGGGGCGCGAAACCTTTTTGTTTGTAATCACGCGCGCCAGGGGGTCGTCGCTGGCGCCGCTGAGGGGATCGTGCACCCCCTGCATGACAGCCTCAAAACGATTGCCTTTCGTATAGTAGTTTAAGAAGGGTCGTACACATCCGAGGCGAATTTTCGTTCCCCCTCTCAGGCGTCGTTGTCGTCGTCGTCGTCGCCGCTGCCGCCGCCGCCGCCGCCGTCGTCGTCGTCGCCGTCGTCGTCGTCGTCGTCGTCGTCGTCGTCGTCGTCGTTTTCTTCTTCTTTGTCGTCCTTGTCGTCGTCGTCGTCGTCGTCGTCGTCTTAGTTGTCTTCGTCGTCGTCGTCGACTACAGCGGGCCTGCGCAGCACCCCCCCCCCTCCCATAGGGCATCCGCAGTGCGTCGTCGTCGCCGCCGTCCGCCGTCTGCCGTCCGCCGTCCGTTGTCCTCTTCCTCGTCCCGTCGTCGTCGTCGTCGTCGTCGTCGTCGTCGTCGTCGTCGTCGTCGTCGTCGTCGACGAAAAGAGCGGCCATTGGAAACGGGCGCAGGCAGGGCGGGGGACGGCGGCGACGACGGCGACAGAAGGGGGTCGGACGAAAGGTTGGGGAAGGAAAGGGAGGGTTACAAAGCCTGCTGCGCGCAGCTGGCTTCGGTCGCCCCGCCGAAGGGCCAGTCCTCGACGCATGGCCGCTTTCGGCGCCAGGAGGCGCTTGGCAAATCGGCGACGTGAGCTGCTTGGCAAATGCCCCCTTTGCTGCGCCAGCTTTCGTCCAGCCCGCCTTGCCCGCAGGCCCGCATCGGTTCGACAGAAAAAGGGGCGCCATGGCTCGCCCTTGCCTCCAAACACCCCCCCTTGCCCCTCGTTGGCGGCCGGGCGTCGGCGCTAATCATCGGCGCCGCCCCGTTGGTTTTCAATCTGGCAGGCGCCACCCCGCGATTCGCCCGAGCAGGGGAATTTTTTGTTCAAAACACGCGCCCCCCCCACGGATTCGTTAATCACAAGCTGACATTGCTGTTTTTGGAGAGGCATTCCTCGGATTGTTTGGTCTTGCTTTCTCACCGCAATCCTCGGTTTGCGTGGCTTCTTCCTAGCAGCGCCAGGAACCGCAAAGCAGTACCGCGCAACGCCTAGCAATGCCAAGAAACGCCAGGGAACGCCAAGCAAGGCCACAAAACGCAAAGCAACACCAGGAAAAGACAAGCAAGGCTGAGAAACGCCCAAAAAGGCAAGCAACGCCAAGCAAAGCAATGCAAAGCGAGCGCGCAAGGCAACGTCAAATCAAGACGCAGCAACACTGACCAACGCAAAGCAATGCCAAGCAGCACCAAGCAACGACACGCAAAGCCAAGCAACGCCAAACAACAAACAACGCAAAGCAATGCCAGATCAATGCACATCAACGATGGTCAGTGCTGATCAATGCAAAGCAATGCCTCCCTTGCTTGCTTACTTACTCAGGTAGCTGTTCCTTACTTGGGGTCGCTCCAAGTTCAAGTTTGCAAATGTACCTGGGGAGCAACAGCAGCACAACACCAATGGTATGTCGCGGCATCAGCGTGGTGCTGTTGACGAAACGCTGGGCCTCTGGACACAAACAAGGGGCAACACGCTGATGGGCTCCCAACGGCGGCGTGTCATTGATATGACTGCGATGGCCTTACCGGTGCCGCCGACCCTGAGGTCGGGGAGGGGGCGCGGAGCACAGGGAAGAAAATGAGGGGGGGGAGGAGTAGGAGCACAGGGGGGGAATGAATAGGAGGAGAATGAGTTAATCTGGTTTTGGGCTCCGGTACGTCCCGGCCCAACTTCACGCGGCCCGCTCGCGCCTGCTCGCACGGAGTGCTTGTCGGGCCGCTCCGGGAGCGCTCCGGCTCGCACGGAGCGCTTGGAAGCGCTTGGGCGCGCCTGGGAACGCTTGGGCTTGGATTTCGGCCTTGCCGACGCCTCGCTCGAAGGAAGGGCAGGGGCGAGCAGAGCGTGGCGATCATGAGGAGGAAAAGGAGGAAGATAATGGCGAGGATGTTGACGATGTTGACGACGACGACGCCAGTTGCCTATTAGGATCGTTCGGGGCGTCTTGGAGCCTTCCTGGGGCGACATCCAAGCTTGAAGCTCGTCTCGGCATCTTGGGCATCTGGGAGGCCACGGAAGTGTAGTTAGATTAGGAGGGCGCCGGGGGAGAGGAGGAGGAGGAGGAGGAGGGAGTTATTACTCTTAAGCTTCCAGCAACTTGGTGGCGTCCCAAACCCGGAGAGCAAAGGGCACGCACACCAGAAAGCTTCCCTGGCGGGCCCGCGCACGCTTTCGTAAAGCCGTTCTGGCGCTCTGGGGGGCTCCCCTACAGCGCTGCTGAAGCGCTGCCAGAATCGCTTCCATGCGTGCCTGCTCGCTTGCAGGCACGCGTGGAAGCTTGCCGGAAGCTCTCCCGGACACGTTTCCGGGCCGGGCGAGGCGCTGCGGGGAACGTGGACCGCCGCGCTTGTTGGGCCCAGCCCCCCGCCGACCAAAAAAAAACACAAGTGATTACTGGAGCCTCTGGGGTCTTTCCGTGTCCCATTATGATGCAGTCGGGGCCCTGAAGAAGGAACCCTTTTCGTTGGGGAGGGGCCCCGTGTCCCTTGACCGTTTCACAGCTTGCCTCAGGCTTTCCTTAGGTCTTCGATACGAAATCGAAGTTCAACTTATGGAAGATAGGGGCCTCGTTCCCTATTTAGGGTGCCTTAGGTCAACGCCCCGAGTGTAATCCTTGCCTTCGCGCGTCCAGCTCGGCCCTGACCTCCCCGGAGGCCCGCCGCGCCGCCTCGGCGCGCGCTTGCCGATCTCCTCTCGGCCGCGCGTGGCCAGCACCGGCAGAGTGGGGCAGGGCGAGGGGGGCGCATGGTGACTGGGAGTGGGTCGTTGGTAGCCTCACCCTCCTCCTCCTCCTCCTCCTGCTCCTCCTCCTCCTCCTCCTCCTCCTCCTCCTGCTCCTCCTCCTCCTCCTCCTGCTCCTCCTCCTCCTCCTCCTCCTCCTCCTCCTCCTCCTCCTCCTCCTCCCAGGTGCGCGAGACGCAGCGCGCAGGTAGCATGAAGCATCGTGCGACCGCGGCCTTTTCTTCGAGCTCCTTTGACGAGGGGCCTGGCAGGTGCCGCGAAAGGTCGACCACGGGAAAGCAGTGTGGATCGCTGCAACAATTCTCGGCTTGATTCGACCCACACGAGAGCGCGGTGGGAGTGGTTCTGCAACGACCCGCGGGCGGGAGACGGCACCGATCCCCACTCAGGAGCTGGTCGTTCGGCCGGCGGGCCCAAGGCTGCGTTGGTGGGGGGGGATGGGATGGTTTTCTTTGTCAAGAATTCCGACCACGAGCGTTATTTGAGAGCGTCGATCCGCCTGTTCTGGCCCACCACGTTTCGGTGCGACACGCTGAGCACGTCCCAGTCCCCACGCATTAACGTTCCGATCTTCCCCCAGCCCTCCGGCCCACGAAGCAGAGCGACACGCTACCGTGGATGGGAATAGTCGCGCGAAAACGAAATCACAACGTTGGAATTTCGCTGTTTAAAAGCTGCCAGTTCCCGGCCGGGCAGGATCGGCGGCTGCCCTCCAAAATGTGAAAATAAACGCGAACGTCGGAAGCACGTCTTTTCAACCTGCGGTCGTTCTTGCTTGGGCCGTGCTCCATCTCTTGAGCGTCGGAATATCAATGTTACGAATTCGGTTTCGCGCTATTTGCTCATCCACGGTATCAGACCATGTCACATTGGCCGCCGCCGCGGCACGCTCAGCAGCAGTTGTTGATCGGACGGCGACGGCAGACTCGTGCAGGGGCAACAGCAGGGAGGGATGGGCTCAGGGGGAACGCATGACCCTGAATGGCCCGCTGATCACTGACAGGGGTCTCCGATCGCCTGCCCCGTCCAGGAACGTTCGGATTCCTTCTCGGGGGCCCATCGCCGATCTACAATCGGCGATGTATTGCCGATTCCGAGTCGACGTTTTCCCCCGCAGCGGATCCCCCCCTTGTCTCAGCGGCGAGCCCGGGGGAAGCGAGTCGGGGCAGGCTTTTTCAGAAGGCGGCCGAGCTTCTCAGAAGCCTTCGCGCCTTCAGAGAAATTGCTTGTGTCTTCTGCGAAGGCTCACACCCATCAGGGATCTCAAGGAAAACAACACATGTCGTGGACTCTTGTTTAAGAACCAAGAGTCTGGACTGGACCCTAAGCGTTTTCTCGGAGCTTTGTTTTTCGAAGAACTTTCGCGTACCTGGACCGGGCATACTGTTTCAGAAAACGCTCGGGTTGAAATCTGCTTTCTTGGCGGAAAACCTTGACTCCAAGCAGGGGTGCAGAAGACGTCTTCGAGGGCGCCGTTCCGAGAACGCCCGCCCGCCCGCCCCGACCACCGTCAGGCCGGACGAAATGGGGAAAGGGGGGGTTACGAAATCTGCTGCGTGCAGCTGGCTTCGGCCCCACCGAGGGGCCCATTCCTCGATACACGGGCGCCTCACGGCGCCGTGAGTCGCTGGGAAAATCAGCTGCGCGAGCTGATTCTCAAACCCCCCCTTTCGCAGGCCTAGAGGTTGACACCAACACCAATATCGGCGGTGTTCCTCCACCGTGGGAAGAAGATCCCGATCTCGGTGATGGTGGTAATATTCTGGCTTCCAAGGTGACCGAAATATCACCACCAACACCGAAATCTAGGAACGTCTCCCCCCTGTGGAGGCAGCCCCCTGTCTTGGTGTTGGTGCCCATTTCCAGGCCTCCAACCCTTTGCTATCCCCCCCTTTCGCCCGCCCCGACCACCGTTGCCCCTCGCTCGTCGCCGGGCTCCCGCCCCGCGCGCGAGAGGTCGGGAAGAGCTTCGCCGCCGCCCACTGGCGGCTGGAACGCGCATGGGCACAGGCGCGGGCCCCCTCTCGGGGCTTCGCGGCGGAAGGAGGGGGGGGGGCGCAGGGGGGAGGGAGGAGGAGGAGGAGGAGGAGGAGGAGGAGGAGGAGGAGGAGGAGGAGGAGAGGAGGAGGGGAGGAGAGGAGGAGGAGGAGGAGGAGGAGGAGGAGGAGGAGGAGGAGGAGGAGGAGGAGGAGGAGGAGGAGGAAGGTTATGGAAAAAGGAGGGAAAAGGGAGGAGAATGGGGGGGAAGAGCAGGAGGAAACATGGGCAGACTGAGTCGGAGGAGGAGGAGGAGGACCAGTGCAAACCCAAGACTCATCAACGATGTGGCAATAAACCCTCCCTCCAAGCTTCCTTTTCATAGGTCACTACAAGGATTCACTGGCACTCAGGGAAGTGCCCCGTTGGAAGACAACCGTTTGAAAACCCTGAACCTTGCCAGAACACCATTCTCGGAGGTCAATGCCGCGAAGCAATGTTACTGTTGCACCCAGCCGATCTTGAATCGTGCCAGAACACCATTCCTGGGACTTCAACCCCGTGACTCCAAGTGGCCTGTTCGCCCTGACAGCCATACATCGTGCCAGAGCACCGTTTCTGGGACGTCAACCGTGAGAACATGTGGAGTTGCTGTAGAATATGAAGACGAATGTGCGCGGCGCCAAGGCGAGAATCACATTTTGAAAACGGCCGCTCTCCATCCGAAAAACTGCTGCAAGCTTTAAAGACGAATGTG